GCAATTATAATGTCTTAAAACCCTATTGTGTTTGTTAATGATTCCTGGGATAGCCTGAAACTTTTGATCTATGTGAATTCAGCAATCTTTCTATGGATAAGGCTGGCAAAGTTTTGTTATTCTAATAAAGCTGATTACAACAAAATCTATAATTGAATGGCTTGGAGGTAAAAAAAAATCTGACATTACTTTGCTCTTGTTTTGAGCTTGATGTCAAACTTATGACAAACACATGCTCTACAATTGATAACACATTTATTTTCCTCCCAATTAATAGGTGAGGGAAAACTTTCAAACAAAGGGGTAGAACAGAATACAAAAGTTTCCCCGAGAGCACCCTGAGCACCCTGAATGAGCAGTCCTATTGGTCTTCAAATTGTTAACAGATTAACAGAGTTGGAAGAGACCTTGTAGATCATCTAGTCCAACCCTCCACCCAAGCAGGAGACCCTACACCATTTCTGACAAATGGCAGTCCAAGCTCTTCTCCAGTGATGAACAACTCCCACAACTTCCAAATGTTCCTACAGTGGCTTGTTTGGTTACTTGCTAGCTGCATGTTGGGTGTCTTTGGGCTCTGAGGACTGAAATACTATTGATATAGTGTTTACATGCTATTTGTTTCTGATGAAGAGATTTAAATGTTCCTTTTTGTCCACTCTTGGTCAATGCAAGGTCTCTACAAGCAGGAGATAGTCAAGAGACAAACAGTCTTAGTATTTTCAAAATTGATAGAAGCAACCATTTATTTGATCTTTGAAGACAGTGTATATCTAACATCAACAATAGTTAATACAAGGTCTGCATTCAAGCTATCACCTTCAAACTGATTTTAAACTGCTTAAGCAACTGGTCTAATTTTGGGATTTGTTTCCCAAAAAGATAGTACCCTAACTCATTCTTAACTATTATGTCATTAAGAACTAAACTGAGTCACAAAAAACTTAACCAAGTTTTATCTGTCATACAAATGTTCTAATGCAGGGGCTGTCAAACTCCTGGCCTGCAAGCTGGATGCGTCACGCCATGGCCATACCAACACCCAGTTTAGTGAAAGGGAAAAAAGTCCTGATACATCACTGTGCCACTGTGCCACTGTGACGTGAGTTTGACACCCCTTTCTAATGCAAGATGCGTTTAAACTTCAAGAAGTGGGAATTAGGAAGTGGGAAACCCCTTGAAATAACATGTATTTAAAAATAGTTAATACCTCTGCATTTAGCTATTAGAGCCACTAATTTGGCTAACTTTTCCTATTCAACTTTTAGAAAGTTAACATTTCACATAATTGATAATTTAAGTAATGAATAAGGCATTCTCCTTCCCAGAAACTACTGCATCTTTCTTGACACTATTGAAAAATTAAATAGCAAGATTTGCTCTTAAAATGATTTAAAGATCTTGTTTTTCCCCCACATCATTTTTATATGTTTAATGCTTTGGCATTATTTCAGAGAGAAGAGAATGTATGCAGTCCCACCCACTCTTTTAACATAGCCTACACATGTTTTGGATATAATTGCTGACTCACACCAGGTGCAGGTGGGGCTACTAAAAGAAAAGTAATTGTGTACCTTCGTTTTGCTGTTGGAACAAGAGAAAAGCCATAGCAGGGACTGCAATTAATAAAACTTTAAACCACATCCCTTAAGGTAAATTACAGCAGCATCTCTTTTGCAGCCCCGAGATCATTCAGAATAATTGGAAATAAATCTTCAGTCCACTGTGCTTAACTTTTGAATAGCAAAATTCATTCCTTAAATCTTACAGAGGTATAAAGTAGGATTGTTATTCTTTATGAAATCCAACCATTTCAGTACCAGGCAATCTTTTTTTCTGATTTTTTTTCTGATTGAATAGAGTTTAAGGGACAAAACTGGATGCTTTAAATACTTTGCAAGACCCCCACCCAAGTTCTAAATTTCAGCAACAGACTGATAATATATTAATGGTCCTGGATCAAAACAGTAGTACCCCAAACTACAGTAACTGTAGCAAACCATAACATGAGTAAGTCTTTGATTCGGAGTATTATGTTAATGATCCACTTGTAGATATCCCACAAACCATGGTATAAGCAAACATAGTTTAACACTAAGACCTAAGCCATTTTTAAATATTTTTCCCTATTCAACTTTCAGAAAGTTTAAATTCAACATAATCAGTAATTTAATTAAATCATGAGTACAAGCATTTCTTTTGTTACAGCTTTCACCAATGAAGCACTCAGTTTCACGTTTTAAATTCCATCCATTATGTGTTTTAACAACTTTGGCATAACCCCGTCACTCTAGCCAAGTGCTTTTTAGAACCCAGGGCCTTTGTTTAAGCCCCAGTCACTTTCACCAGCAGAATAAAAGACAGATTAAATAAAAATGCAGAGAGAATGTTCCACGCTCTGAAAATTCCTTCTTTCAGTAAGAGAGCACAGAATGCAGGCCACTTTGCATGCACAATTCTTGCAAAAGGTTAATGTCTCTCTCTCTGGTTTCGTCCCTCGAGCGCTGTTACATTCTGCAATGTCTCCCTTAGTTAGGAACAAGTTGGAACTCCTCACAGGTAAATGGTTTTGTATGCCATCCAGGTTAATAACAGATGAAACAACAGGCTGATTTTTACACTCTGGAATGTTAGGGTGAAAATATTATGACAAAAAATGGCTGTAAAGTATCTTAACTCATCCAAGTATTCAACAGAGTTCACATAGCCACAGTTCACATTCACTTTAATGTGAATGTATTTCATCTCTACTGGCTTTTGCTAATAAAAGGGCACCATCAAAGTTTCCAAAATTGTGTAAAAATCAGTTCTGGTGAAGAAAAGATGCTCCATTCTACAGATTCTGGCATGGATTTAATGTATAAATTATGGATGTAAATTAGACTAAAGAAAATGATTCTTGCAGCCTCATCTTGAAGTCTTCAAATAACACCTCATCTCAGTTTTGAACTGCAGTACTCTATTTAGGTATCACTCTGACTAAATTCAGCAAAATTACAATCCTTATCTATTTATTTGGAAGCTAGTACACTGAATGCAAGCAATCTTACTTCTCAAAATCATAGTATCTGGGTTCAGCCATAATAAGCCGTAATGTGATTTATTATGTTATATGAACTCCGCATTGCATTTGTAAAGAATGGTTGATGTCACAGTATGCAAGTATTTATTAGTTCATAGAATAAATCATTATTAAGGAAATTAAAACCAAGCGTAATATGTGAAGAAACTCATCGGTGATATCAGGAGGATATTAATCTATTTTACAACGGGTATGAGAATTACTGAAATAAAATATTCTAAGTCTGGTTTATACAAATGCAATCTGAGATAGTGGCACCAAGTGAGAAATTGGGAGACAATGAGTCCTGCCTTAGGCACAAAGCCAGCTGGATGATCTCGAGCCAGACATTCAGTCTCAGCCCTAGGAAAATGGCAATGACAAATCACTACTGAATTCTTGCCATAAAAACGGCAGGGTCTAGTCCAGAGAGTCTCCAGAAGTCAACGTTGACTTGAAACCATACACCAGATTTATACTAAAGTGATCTGAAAAGAGAAATACAAGTAGTCCTTGACTTACAACAGTTCATTTAGTGATTGTTCAGTTATAACTGCACTGAAAAAAATGACTTATGACCTTTTTTCACACAACTGTTGCAGCATCCCCATGGTCACATGATCAAAGTTCATATGCTTGGCAACTGGTTCATACTTATGATGGTTGCAGTATCCAAGGGTCATGCTTTTGAGGCCTTCGGACAAGCAAAGTCAAGGGGAAGCCAGATTCACTTAACAACCATGTTGCTAACAACTGCAATGATTCACTTAACAACTGTGGCAAGAAAGGTTGTAAAATGGGGCAAAATTTACTTAACAAATGTTTCAGTGACATAAATTGTGGACTTAACTGTGGTCATAACTTGAGAACTACCCATATTAGTCCTATGTGATATTTATTTACATATATGCTTCCTAAATGCTTAAGGGGACCTGCAGGCCTTCACCTTATGTTTATTTATTTACTTATTATTACTGCTTAAGAGCCAAAGTGGCACAGTGGTCAGAGTGCAGTACTGCAGGCTACTTCTGCTGACTGTCAGCTGCCTGCAATTTGGCAGATCGAATCCCACCAGGCTCAAGGTTGACTCAGCCTTCCATCCTTCCGAGGTGGGTAAAATGAGGACCCAGATTGTTGGGGGCAATAGACTGACTCTATAAACCACTTAGAGAGGACTGTAAAAGTGCTGCGAAGCAGTTATAAGTCTAAGCGCTATTGCTATTAAGTAAATTATTATAAATAATTTGATAATAATCTCCTATCTCCCTCTTAGAGGAACTCTGGACTGTGCACAATAATATATAGTAAAAGCATAAAAGCAGCATTTATAACTTATTTTCACAACAACCCTGTGGAGTAAACTTAAGTTCTGTGTGATCAGCATCAACTCATCCCAAGTTTCCGCAGCTTGAGTGCCATTCTGGAATCCAACACAGAACTAAGTACAGTAGCCAAGAGGTTCTCATTCAGTGGGAGTACTCATCCTGCTGCCTTCATGGAACTATTATGTTCAACCACGTTAAGAGCCCCAACCGAAGTCTTTGCAAACGCGGCAAATGATATGCAAACATAAAGAGAGTCACCCAGCTTTTGGAGAAAAACAACAACAACCCGTCCCATTGTTTTCAACCTACAACGCAGCCTTGCGCACTGTCCTCAGAAAATGCACCTGGGAGGAAACCAGGACCACCAAACTTCCACCGGGCTAAGACGGCACCTGTCCCAGCCCGCTCCAAGGGGGAAAAGGAGCGTGTAACAATTCAAAGCGTACTCGGAAACGCCGAGGCGGTGGGAGCCTTTTCAGAAGAAGAGTCTGCGTGCAACTGGATGGAGAAGGAGATTCCTATTCTGGAATCGCTAACTGCCGAAACACGACGGGGGTCTCTGCCCGCCCCCCAATCCCCTCCGCCTCCCGAATGAAACAACGCCGCAAACTTACTCAAGCCGAGGAGACTCAGCAGAGCCAGGCAGCCTACAAGTCGCCTCGGATCACCCATTGTTCCAAGAAGGAGCTGTGACTGCAAAGCCGGGCAGAGAATGGATGCAGTCGCCGGGCACAGGGCAAGAAGCGCTTAAAGTCCCGGAGCAGCTCCGCCCACCTGGCGCGCTCTTGCAGCGCCCCGAGGGTCCCTCGGAACCGGCGAGCTGCTCCGGCCCTCCCCTCTCGCCCAGTTTAAGCCCCTCCTCTTACTCCCTTGCCAGATAAAACTCTTCCGCTCAGGTGTTTAAGACTTTGCGAGCAACAAAACGAACTTTCTTGCTGGCTTCCTGCTTAGTTTCGGCAGAAAAGAGAGATAGAAGCGATTGTGTGAAAGGACTTCCCCCTTCAGAGATGCTCTTGTCTTTGCTCATCCTTCGTGGCTCCCTCAGGGCTCTTTTAAGAAGGGAAGGGTGTTGAGGTATAATGACCCGCTCCGAAGAAAGGTTTGGTGGTGTTTGTTAGTGTGGGTGCACTATATGGTCTTATTCTCTGGCGTTGGCACCTATGGCAAGTTATATGTTGTGATTTAGAGTACTTGGAAGAGAGGTATTTTAGTGTTTTAATTAGCAGGAGTAACCATTCATTCAGACAGAGTGACTCAAACACGTAGGGACATGTATGAAGGCGTATATTGATCTTCCCTGGATCAGAAGCCACTGTTGATTCCCCGTAGGATTGGGATAGAAGACCACCACGAAATCCTAGATTTGGAAGTCAAAAGCACCCCTCAAAATGATTGTGTGGATGTGTTGCACTGGCAGCAGAGCTCAAAAAATGGGATTTCACTTTTTCCAAATGTCATTTCCCTTCCCTCCCCCGCTCCCCTCCAAAAATTTCTGGATGTTTGGTATATACTGTATAACAAATGGGTTTTTTTCCGTCGGCTGTTGACAGTGTCAAACTTGATTTCAACTTCAGGGTTGTGTTGGACCTTGGAGGGCCAAGTTGGGTGTGGCCAGCATGACATCATTGTGTTGGGGAGGGGTGCCTGTGGTGGCCCAACTGCTCTGCCAACTAAAATGGGTTCCTGACTTCTGTTTTCAGCTGGGATGGCGTCCTGCAACCCTCTGCAGCTAAAACAGACCTTGCAAGGGCCACATGTGGCCTTCCCAAACTCTGCTTTCACTGGCAGAAGCACTGAGGGCTGGTCATTCGCTGTTTCCAGAGCAGCCCTACTAGCCAGATCTAAGTACCCAATGGGCTGGATCGAGCCCGTGGGCCTAGAATTTGAAACCCCTGAACTAGCCAATGTTATCCAACTCAAAAAAAAACTAAGCCAGGCTAGATTTTTTTTTTTCATATTTGAATGGGAGCCCCCAGAAAAATCTAAGGACAACTGCCTAGACTGAGAAGTTGGGGGAGAGGGGGAAAACAGAGACTTTATATTTCAGTACAGTATGGTGCCCTGTTCTTACAGTATTTGGGATTCAAGGGTAGGTCAGATAACAGATAAAAGATAATCAGAGTTGGGAGGGACCTTGTAGAACTTTGTTAAGAAGGTCCTTCTTAACTACAGCAGACACCAAAGCAACTTTATATTTTATTTGTTGAACTTGGAGACACAATAAAGTAAGCTTTCCAATAGCGTATTTTTCCCCATTTCTTCCCTAGTTACAAATAAAACATTGTTAAATGTCATAAACAATAAGTGGAGACTTGCCTTTTCATAACTCATTGATTTGTGACTACTAATGACATGTATGTGTGTGTTCCAGTGTATCAGTCACCAACATGACTAGCTTTACTCAAGCACTCCCCAGAAGTAACTCATTAACTTATGTATTGTTTTATATCTATATAAAGGATCTCTTGTGTACTTTAGATCTCAGAGTAAGGCAGGAAATAAATATAATAAATAAATTAATAAATAGGAAATGTCCCTTTTTTTGAGTTTTAAAATCTCTAAGGCATGAACTCATATGTAGACTTCTCATTACACTGTGATTATATCCTGTCTAGAGCTAGAAGGGAAAGAAAAACACTGCAAAAATGAAAAGAAAAACAAAAACCCTGAATGTTGCATCACTACTTCCTTCTTTCCTAGAACTAGTGGTATCATCATCCTTACATCAGTTATGTGTACAAAGAACACGTACAACTCTAGAATTAGAGATAACAATTTTGGCCAATGAATTGTTCAGAGGAGTAATCCAAATTAAAGGACCCCCTAATGGATTCCATATCTGCTTCAAGACATTCTTAATAACAGAAGTTTATTAATTAAGAAGCTCAAGGGAGGTAAGTTGTTCCCCTTCAGTCAGTTCATGCTATTATTAAGTGTTGTACCTTACGATTCTTGACTCTTTGACAAATGTATCTTTTCTTTTTATGTACACTGAGAGCATTTGCACCAAGACAAATTCCTTGTGGGTCCAATCATACTTCGCCAATAAAGAATTCTATTCTATTAGGGGCCTCCCTTCTTAAAGTTGAGAGTCTTATTCTGTCCCTTCAATTTAAAACTATAGAGAACATACATTGATATTATTCTGTGTGACATATATTCAATAGAACTATTTTACAGTATCTGGCATAAAAAACTATCTTGTAAACGGTCTCTTTGCTGTCTTTTAATGGTCATATGGAATTTTGCAACCTGGATTCAATAGCTCCAATTCCAAGCTCAAAGAAGCTCTCATATCCTCTTTGAATCTTTCTTTTTCAAGGTAAAATTCCCAGTTCTCTTAGACGAGGGATGTCAAACTCAAGGCCTGGAGGCAGGATCCAGCCTGTGGGATGCTTAGATTTGGCCCACGGGGCCACTCTGGAAACAGTGAAGGAATGGCCCCCAAGCTCCATTTTTTGCTGGCAGAGGGTTGCAGGAGTCTGTCGCAGCCAAAAACGGAGCTCAGGAGCCTGTTTTTGTTGGCAGAGCACTCGGGCCACCACAGGCGCCCCCACCCCCAATACAAGTGACATGCTGACCATGCCCACCCTGGGCACGACCACCCTGACCTCCAAGAACAAACACAACTCTGATGCGGCCCTCAGTGAAATTGAGTTTGGCACTCCTGTCTTAGACCAAGTTCTCTTATATGCCAGGAAACAGTCTGAGTCTCTTTCTAATATTTTGCATCTCCTTGGGCTAAGTGCATGTGTCTGTACATTTTGGTTTTGTAATGTTTCTGAATAGCTTCTGCAAGGTCATCTTCATAGAGCAGGGGTGTCAAACTCTATTTCATTGAGGGCCACATCAGGGTTGCGTTTGACCTCGGGGGGAGGATGTGGCCGGGGGGGAGCTCAACATCACTCGTGTCAGGGGCACCTGTGGTGGCCAAGGACTAAGGCAGGATTTCCCTCAGGCCCTCCCTCCCTCTTATTATAATATCCTTCCTTCCTCCCTCTGTCTCTCCCTCCCTCCCTCCCTTTTCTTCTTTTTCCTTCCCTCTTCATTCTCCTTTTTTCTTCCTTCTCCTCTTTTCTTATTTTTCCTTCCTTGCTCTCTTCCCATCTTTTCTTCTTCTTTTCTTCTTTCCCTTTCTGCTTTCCTGTCCCTTCTTGCATATTCAAATGCAAAAGGGGAAACATTTCTCCTTTTGTTTTTAGTTTGCTATGTTAGCTCTCTGCCAGTGAAAAAGGAGCCTGCGGGGCGGGCCACACGTGGCCCCCCTGAGCTGAGTCTTTGCTGGCAGAGGCACTTGCAGGCCTTGAGTTTGACACTCCTGCCATAGAGTGTTATGCCTACATAGTCTCTGTTATATAAATTTCTTTCTGGTATTTTTTGCTTATTTCTACTGAAGCTCTTGGCTCATTTTCTACTCATTTCTATTGAGATTTTTAAAAATCTTATTTATGGCTTTGTAAAATGCTTTACTGACGTCAAGCTTTATAATTCCCTATATATTTCCAAATTCACCTTAGTTTCTTGATTATTGCATGTTTCCAGGTCATTTTTACTGCATTTTAACAATTTTCAGTTCTTTAGCATCAAACACAGACAAAACTCCAGGCGTGCCTACTATCTATACCAGAGCCATTCAGTTTTTCAAGACTGAGAACGGAGATGATTTTTTAATAATACACTGGAGTAACATTCTTAAAAAATAATAGGCAGAATCTCAGGAAAAAGAACTCAATGGACTTAGAACAAAAAGCAAAATTTTTAATTATTTGATCTTAAACAGGATTTAGACTGGTTAATTTTAAAGGAACAGCTGAGATTGGCTAGATCAGGGGTGTCAAAATCAAGATCCACAGGCTGGATCCAACCCGCAGGACCATCCTGGTTTACTCAATGAGAAGAGGAAAGATCAGGCCAGCCTGGCTTCAGTCCAGTCTACCCAATGCGAAGAAGAAACATGCCAGCAGTTTGGGAAGTGGTGTCAAACTAGCCATGCCCATCCAGTTGGCCACTCCCACCCAGTTGGCCATTCCCCCCCTGTCGTCTGTCTCCCCTGAGGTCAACCATAGCCCTGATGTGGCCCTCAATGAAATTGAGTTTGACACCTCTGAGCTAGATGTTCCTCCTAATATACTCTACCTGACTCTATGATTTCTTCCCAAACCCCAAAAACTTTAACCTTAGACTGTCTACTATTGACCTCACCCCTTTCCTAAGAAGTCTGTAGGGGGCGTGCATAAGTGCACCAATGTGCCTACCATCCCTGTCCTATTGTTTCTTTTATTTTTCTTATACAAATCCATGTATTCATAACTATGTTCTATTATCTTGTAAGCAATTGGCAAACCAAATAAAATAAAAAATAAAAAAATATAAATTGTATTAAATTTAGTCTAATTTGTAGACAGTACAAAAAAATAAGGCGTGTCAAGTTAAAGTGATATGTGACATTTCCTTAAATAAACATTGAAAGTGCTTGTTCATATGATAACCGAAAGTATTTCATGCTACCTATTCATGAACTGTGGGGTGGAGTGCTGAGTGGAAATGAAGTCTATGAAAGCAATGTCTTTATATGACAGTTCTTGTTTGAGAATTCTGCAATGTTTATGTTACCACATTGTAATAAGTGGGTTCTTTTTATGGGCATAAATTTATTTTCTCACTGACATCATGAGGTTTCTGAAAAAGTTTGAGTCCTTGTATTAGTTATTATGAACACTCAATAGTTTATAAAAACTTTGAAGAATGCTCCTGCCTGCTAATTTATGATTAGAGAATTGTGCATCTTGAAGGGACAGGATGTGTCGGTCATAATTTCTCATCTGATAAA